AATCGATGCATTTGAATTTAATAAAATAATTGTGTGAATAAAAGTAGAAGATACAGTAAAACGGGTTATTGGCAAAAATGCACGAGCGTATCTAAAGGATGGACTGTCCTTTGGAAAAGTGTATATACGTAAAGCAGAATTTCTATAAAAAAAAAAACAATGATAAAAAATAAATAAATAAGAAAATTACATAAAAAATTACTCGGCTTAAAATTTTTCGATCACGCTCTTTTTAAGATCAAAACAACTCTTCTTTTTTATATGAAATTACACACATGTGCCCTTCACATCTTTTACTATATTATAAATATCTCCCGTTTGTTCTCCATCTGTTTTCTCATTCTATGCCCATACACATAAAATTTGTGATTTATTTGATATCGACGCTGACAACTACTCCAAGTCGTCGATTTATTCCATTACATGTTAATTACTTAATATAATCTTAGCCAGAGCTGCACAGGTTCGTGACCCAATGGCCACAATTTATTTTTCGATTTATTTTAACAGATTCGATGAATTCATTTTTGAAAGTTGATCCTTAATCCAAAGTTTTGTTTCGTTAATCGAATTCAATGAAGGGTACGCTATTATTTTAATCTAATTAGGTAAAATAGCAATTTTAGTTGAAAATGAATTTACGAGGCATCTTTTCACAACTACTATAAACTACCGATATCGATTCTTTCTTGGATCACAATTAAACATTTTCGATCCAGTCACCGGAGTTTGATGAAAAAAAAAAAAAAAAAAAAAAAAAAAAAGTGTTAACACTTAAATAGGCATACATCCAAACGAAATCATCGATACATGCGAGTTTCCATTGACATATCGTACCGGCAATCGATTAAGCGCACCGTCAAAGCATCGACCGATCCTTTTCCACCTCTCCTGCCTGTACACGTTATTGGCTATATGCTGCTACCGCTGTTTGCACGATATACACAGACCCTACGAGGATATTGTGCTCCACCTTGCAAATGACGACAAAGTACGGGGGCATAACATTGCCAATAGCTTGTAAGGACTGTTATCCAACGCGTTGTACGGCCGAGCTTAATTGTCTCGCAAATTATGTGGCAGGACGAACCCCAAATGGTAGGATGTAACGTAGGATATTCTTGAAGGAGAAAAAAAAAAAAAAAAAAAAAAAAAAAGGAATCTTTGACGTGTCAAGGCAGCGATAGCTATACATGTACACCACCATTACGTGTTAGATAAATAAACAAATGAATGAATAATGCTTGAAATGTAAAAAATGTGAATGGTGAGCAGAGTGCGACCAGAAGTTCATAAGTACGTCGGACGGACCGCAAAACGGGACGTTTCACGCGCCCCATCTGATCAATCCGAGCGGCGAGTCGCGCCAGTGCGTCTACACGTTTCTCGCTGGGCCGCATCAGCGCGTCGAGCTCGTCTTCAACAACTTTGGCCTACGCGGCTCTCCTCCCGAGTGAGTACAACCATCTTGTGTTTTTTTTTCTTTTCTCTTTCCATCATTATACTTGTATATATATATATATATCTATTGACATTCTCATATGCGATACGTATATGATCACAATAATGATTATTATTACGATGGATGTACATTGATACGTTTGGACCAGTTACCACCTCCGATGATTCCCAAATGTTTACTCTCCACCCTTAAAAACCATTTCTTTTCTTTTTCAACGGTACATAGGTACACTGACATAAATTACATATTCACGCGTACACTTGTAAAGTAGAGGGATAAATGTGACATAGTGCGCCTAGCTAGGCTACTCGTAAAAGTCCGACGGGAGGATTTATTCATGCAAGTATAAGTCAAAGTAAAAGAGCCGCCGCTGCACCGACGACGACGGCGGTGCCAAGAGTCGGTGTTGTGCACACACACGTATATTTATTACACCTACGTATATTTTATTAACGATCGAGGAAGGGTAGAAAAGCAACCGACCTCATGCCGTATTCTCTTTTTCTCCTCTCTTTCTGTGCGCGCAATGCGTATGTATATATGTGTACTTAGTAGGCTGTGCACGTATGATAATAGGCTCCCCTTATACGGTATATATACGTGCACAAACATGTATACATATATGTATATGTATATTCGCGTTTGCGGAATCGATCGGATTCCCGCTGTAGCTCGCGCCTCCTTCGTTGTATGTGTGCAGACGGGCGAACGAGAGGGTAATGACTGCTCGTGGTGGTGCCACGCGTGTATTTACGGGATAAGTTTGACGCTTTATGCCAGCTGTATACTGTTTTACATCGTGTTTTACAACTGTTGTACACAAATGGGCATCATCTATTGATGATGCTTCTCGACTGACGTGCATATACATAACTTGTGTCGCTTACGACAATGTTATGTATTTTTTTTTTTTTTTTTTTTTTTTTTTTTTTTTTTTTTTTTTTTGTACGATGTGCAATAGTGAAGTAGATTGAATTGACTTTTTTTTCGGCTCATCCTTATACTTTGGTACGGAGGCACTATACTTTTCATTTTTCTCAATACAATTTAATTTTACGATATTGACTGGCCCCACGTGCACACAGAAAGAGAGGGTGTTTTTTTTTTGTTTTTTTTTCATATCCGAGTACATCGTTTCGCAATTTCAATATTTTAAAGTGAACGTTTCATACCATCAATTAGAGTCTGCACTCGATTTTCAGCATTTTTATTTTTTTTCAAATCGAATTCGTTAGCGAACGAGCAGAGGATACATTTTTTTACAGGGAGCAATCGATACGGACGGAATTCATTAACGTTAATGAAGTTTTCGGGTCGAGTAACGAAAGGAAAACTTCAATTTACATAATTGCTTGTCATCCACAAATGATTTGTAAATACTGGTGTAAATAACAACATTATTTCGTTATAAAGTTTTTTTTTTTTTTTTTTTTTCATAACACCACAGCCTTTGCCGACATTCCTCTCGTTTATTTTTCAGTTGTTATTTTGTTCCAACAATAGGTTCCAAGGTTTATCGATTGAATTACGTTTCATGTACACCTATAGTTTTAGCGAGCGTGCGTGAAAAAAAAGATTGTGATATTTTTTTTTAGAGATTAGACACGTAGAAGGTTTGTGTTTGTTTAGTATTTTTATGGAAAAAAAAAAAAAAAATTAATAAATAAATTAAAAAAAAAAGAGTTCGTTTATTACGTTCGTTTGGTTCGTTTAGTGTAGTTTATTATGTTGTATAAGTATTGCCTGTTGTTCTGTTATTATTATCATTTACTCGTAAGTTCAAAATCTCGCATCATTTTTCATACGAGTTGTATACATTACGGAATCAGCCTTTGAATCAAGCAATTTCATTTTTCTTTCTCTTCTTCCTATGTCAATTGCCACTGTCATTTTTAGGTACAAAGTTGTACCCAGGAGACTTGTAAAAAAAAAAAAAAAAAAAAAAACACAAGTATATTTTGCATTGGTCTAGAGTATGTATTCAAAATTTTAAATAGTTTGCAATCGAATCTATGACCTTGTTTCGGGAACTTCTTGATTTTCGCTGCAACTTTGTCGTTCCATGCAAGACATCGACTTATTATAGAATCAAAGTTGGTTAAAAAATAAAAAAAGAAAAAAAAACGTCTTTCTAGTACCCGTGAAAATGTAATATAAACGTATTAATCGATGCATGTTACACATCATTAAAAAAATCAAAAAAATCATGAGATACTTCTATCAAGATAAACTTCGTGTATATATATATATTTTATAGTAATTCGGACAATGTTATGTATTTTTTTTTTTTTTTTTTTTTTTTTTTTTTTTTTTTTTTTTTTTTTTTTTTTTTTTTTTTTTTTTTTTTTTATCCCGTACCATAAGTTGTTAACGTTTGAATGATCGCAGGGTCGAGTACTGCCAGGACGATTGGGTGGAGATCTACAACATGTACAGGGACGACACGGAGAAGCTTATAGGGAGGTATTGCGGCATGACGGCGCCCGGGCCCGTCGAGTCGACCCTCGGCGCTCGCGGGGTCAAGGTCATCCTGCACACCGACTCCGAGCTCGTCTACAGCGGCTTCAAGGCCCGCTACATCTTCGAGAACGCCAAGTCCATTTTCGGTGGTACGTATACCACGCATCGATTATCTTTCTCCTCCCCCCCTTCCCCCGACCCTCGATTATTCAATTCGTTATGTGAGTGCTCGCGCAGACTGCGGCTCCAACATAAGCAGCTTGCACTACGGCGTGATAACCAGTCCGAACTTCCCGAACAAGTACGACGCGCCGTCGCGCAACCTGGCGAGCAAGACCTGCAATTGGTTCATCAGCGTGAGGCCGAAGCACCAGATACTCCTTAATTTCGAGCTCTTCTCCGTCGAGGGGGAGCAGTCGGGTACGCGGGTCTTATCGTATATTTCTCTCTCTTGTACTCGCGTCCAATGATCTTATAGATTTCACCTTGACATTTTCACTTGCAAAGCTCGAGGGTGTCCGGCGGCGGTGCTGCGCATGTGGATATCGCCCAACACGACGCCCGTGGAGCTGTGCGGGGCCAAGGAGCCCGAGGAAAAGTGGAGCCACATCTCCGATGACCACAACATGCGACTAAGGTGGAGATTAAGAGATTCGCGTTTTGTCTGTTGCCGATCTATATAATACTTCTCCCATTCATCGTATCGATTTCACGCGCTTTTTGTCTCTTGCGCCGCGTAGCTTCCTGTCGGCGGACAAAGCGGTTGGCCAGCAGGGCTTTCGCGCGGTGTGGACCGAGGTGATCCTGGACGCGGACTGCTCGGGTGGCTTCGTTTGCGAGGTGAGCGGCTACTGCATCGACGGCTCCCTCAAGTGCAACGACATACGCAACTGCGGCCCCGAGGACACCTCCGACGAGGATCACTGTAAGTCTCGGACATCGTAGTCTCTCATCCTTTTTATTATATAATTTATACGTATATATTTACATATACGGTTATATTTGACAATACCTAGTGATGATACATGCGATGACGATCTGTACCTAAAATCTGGGTGCAGAGTCGTATGATTTTTTTTTATTCGGATGGCAAAAGATTTGTTGATTACGACGAAAATTTTAGAGATTCTGCGAATACGAAAATTCACGTGCATAATATATTTCATGGCNAAATAATAATAATAATAATAGGTGTTAGAAGAGAGAAACAAGTTGAAAAAAATTAATAATTATACAACCAAAAAAATTACCTCACTTTTCGCACGTTTTGTAAGTTACAGTAGATAATCAGGTAAGCTATGTATTGCATTACAATAATGATAACAAAGATAAAGAAAAATGATAAAATCGGCAGTAATATAAAAATAAAATTTACATACACTTACGAGAACAAACCAGCGTGTTCATCATTTTTTCAGTAACTATAAAAAAAAAAAAAAAAAAAAAAAAATCATGAATAAAATAATGTTTAAATGATGAAAATGGTTCGAAAATACAGTACAACATCGACACAAGCACAACCTTTTCAATTCACAACATCATAATGGACAGAAAGAGTCATAAAAGAGTCGCCAGACAAACGCATCTTCTTACCCAACACGTAACATCGTATCATCGATTTTCCCAATTCGTCTGACCAAACGCTGGCCTTATCTACTCGCTGCCACACATACCTTCCTTCTTTCTTCCAAGCCACAAAACTTTCTCGCCCTCCTCCTCTTCCTCACGCCCAATCGACTTATACCACCCCCGTCTCTGTGATTCACCACGAGTCCCCTGATCCTTTACGTTCGCGTTATCCAACCACAGTATACATATAAAAAAATTGCACAATCACCTCACCTCCGCAACCCTGCACATACGTGTATACTTACATAAATATATATATATATATATATTGATCGGAATTCGACGTTGGCATCAGAGGCCAAGAGTATACATCATATCTATCTCCTCCATTTTTCTCTGTGTATCCGCCCGGAACCGAGTGACGACTATGTGTGTCTTATTTTGTTTTTGTTATTTGTGCCGCTTCTTGTGCGCTCTCTTTTGCTGCCTGTGACGCACCGCTGCACTGACGCAGTGGAGCCGCTGTCGGAGAACTACCTGCGTGAGTACTCTTTGCTGTTTGTTTCTCGGAACGAGAATCCTTGAGTATATACTTTTACTTTTATTGAAAAACATCTTTTTCCTTTCCTTCTTCCCGTATGCACTCGATGTCTCCCATTTCGTCATTTTGCACACCAAGCAGTGAGAAATAGTCTTTTCCGAGCAACAGACAGGTGAAAAAACTGTTTCCCCACTGCGTGGGTATAATATATCCTTGTCACACAAATCTATCTAATTTCACCGTATACTCATTACCGTTAATCAACACGTTTGCTTTTACATTGGTGAATTTCAACGGGTTGTGTACGTGCCAGCATACTTTTTTGTAAAAAAATAACAATAATAATAATAATAATAATAATAATAATAATAATAAGCACAATACTAATAATAACAACAATAATAAGCACAATTATAATAATAATCATAATAACAATATAATAATAATGATGATAATAAGCAATTGTGCAGTAATAGTTACAGCTTCTAGAAGTGTCAAAAAAATCGTTTATCTGCACTTCCTTTTTTTTAATTGGTCACACCGCACCTTTTGTATATGTAGCTGCTGCACAAGCGACGAACAGACGATCACACCGTACAATGAGTATATCTGAGGAGTGGTTCGAGCGCCCCGCCGCGGCCAAGCGGCCGAACCAGGCGCANAAAAAAAAAAAAAAAAAAAAAAAAAAAAAAAAAAAAAAAAAAAAAACACAAGTATATTTTGCATTGGTCTAGAGTATGTATTCAAAATTTTAAATAGTTTGCAATCGAATCTATGACCTTGTTTCGGGAACTTCTTGATTTTCGCTGCAACTTTGTCGTTCCATGCAAGACATCGACTTATTATAGAATCAAAGTTGGTTAAAAAATAAAAAAAGAAAAAAAAACGTCTTTCTAGTACCCGTGAAAATGTAATATAAACGTATTAATCGATGCATGTTACACATCATTAAAAAAATCAAAAAAATCATGAGATACTTCTATCAAGATAAACTTCGTGTATATATATATATTTTATAGTAATTCGGTAGCTTTTATAACCATTACAACAATTTCGTTGTACTTTGTACATAAATTGTTTATAAATATCGTGTAAATATATGAATAAATATTTAAAAAAAAAAAAAGAGAGAAAAAAAGATTGCATGCTCCGAATGAAAATTTTTGACGAGCCAAACAAAGGCACAGTGGAACACCGTGGGACCTGTATTGTTTTATTTTACAATTGGCTGTTGCGCGCATATTATAAATTTTGCTGCACGTTGCATAGATGTATATTATTATTATTATACCATACTCTTGATACGAGTTGATTTTTGTTATGTTCGTTTGTTTACTTTGTATTGAATCGCCGAGTGAAAATGTTCAAGTGCACCAAACAAAGTATTTTTGCCAACAGTGAATGAAACTCCCCTGCCCATAGCCCCCCTTTTTGCTGCGCATTTTGTATACCCCCTATTACATAAATATATAGCCGGTTAGATTGATGAACAGAGGCTGCTGATTTTTCTTTTTTTTTTTTTTTTTCTAATGCTTTGATCCCAAGCTAAAACCAACCCTTAATCAATAGATTTTCATTAGCAACATTGTTAATTGGCATTTAAAAAGGCATGAACCGATTAAACGCTTGGGTGCGCTTGTTCACGTGATATTACGGAGACCCGTACTATATATACCTAATTTAACTTTTCAAACAATTTAGTCACGCGACGCTCGAATCATGCAAAACTGACCCTTGGGTGCACTAAACGCGGGCAACATAAATATTAAATCAAATAATCTGGTGTGATTACTTCTTATTAATTTTTCTTATATATAGAATCGATGCATTTGAATTTAATAAAATAATTGTGTGAATAAAAGTAGAAGATACAGTAAAACGGGTTATTGGCAAAAATGCACGAGCGTATCTAAAGGATGGACTGTCCTTTGGAAAAGTGTATATACGTAAAGCAGAATTTCTATAAAAAAAAAAACAATGATAAAAAATAAATAAATAAGAAAATTACATAAAAAATTACTCGGCTTAAAATTTTTCGATCACGCTCTTTTTAAGATCAAAACAACTCTTCTTTTTTATATGAAATTACACACATGTGCCCTTCACATCTTTTACTATATTATAAATATCTCCCGTTTGTTCTCCATCTGTTTTCTCATTCTATGCCCATACACATAAAATTTGTGATTTATTTGATATCGACGCTGACAACTACTCCAAGTCGTCGATTTATTCCATTACATGTTAATTACTTAATATAATCTTAGCCAGAGCTGCACAGGTTCGTGACCCAATGGCCACAATTTATTTTTCGATTTATTTTAACAGATTCGATGAATTCATTTTTGAAAGTTGATCCTTAATCCAAAGTTTTGTTTCGTTAATCGAATTCAATGAAGGGTACGCTATTATTTTAATCTAATTAGGTAAAATAGCAATTTTAGTTGAAAATGAATTTACGAGGCATCTTTTCACAACTACTATAAACTACCGATATCGATTCTTTCTTGGATCACAATTAAACATTTTCGATCCAGTCACCGGAGTTTGATGAAAAAAAAAAAAAAAAAAAATGGATTAAAGATTCGTTGTTCCCGATTGATAAATCTCACAAGTTCCATCGTAAAATCGAAAAATAACGGGTTGCGACCGAAATTCGCAAACAGCTCTGAGCAATAACCCATCGACACGTAATCGATGGCACACGCAAGGTGTCTGTATTTTTGACGATTCTTTGACAACTGCACAATATCGTCACCAGCTGCGTTCACGAGTACATGGACGTCTACACGGAGATCAGGACGGACAACACGACCAAGCTGATAGAGACGCCCTTCGGGGGCAGGTACTGCGGCCCTATACCTCCCCGCAAGAGGGTCTCCCTCTACCAGGGCATCGCCCTCAGTTTCTACACCGACAAAAATCTCACTCTGCCAAGTGTCTTCGACGGACGCTATGCTTTTATCAACGCCTGTGAGTACACAACAAACCATCCCACCTATTTGCACGCGAAAGGTCATACAAATTCATATGCATTGGGAGGAAAGAAGAAAAGGGCGTATCCCCCTTACGGTCGATTTGCCCTTTATCTTATCCTCCTTCTTCTCCCCACAGGGACACACACTCTATGACCGCGCGGTCACGATGAGACCATAACGCGCGATCAAATCCACGCACCGCAGAAGCTCGGGCACGGACGCTGATGTAAAAGCCGATGAGTCGCAGATTCCCCGGGGTTAATTAAGCTCATTCGGCCCTTTTATCCGGACGAATTTATATTGCCACCCCCGTTTGGCTGATGCAGCGAAATCAAAAGGGACTTTTGCTTTTCATGGTCGGTCGGAGCTTAAAGACCCCCCCTCGAAGATACTCGAGCTCCAAGTCCGTTGTGCGCGTGTTTTATTCGAAAAAGCCACCCCTTTCTCCGCACGTTCGATTTAATTTAATTGACAATCCCCGTCCGCGCACACGCTTTTATATATATATACACGTGTATGCATGAATTTTTGCCAGTAAGTAATTCGTTTCGCCTCCGAAAGTTTCACCGTCGATTAAACTCGTTTCACCCGGTGTATTTATCAGTAGTTCCATAGTCAACGCGTATACACGCAAAAACTTTTACCAACCCCCGGGGTTACCTATACATCGGGAAACTTTTGAAGCCAACTTATTTCCAGCCAGTTCTTTTTAATTACCGTAGGCGCATATGTATACCTACGTACGAGCTTTGAACCTTGGGTGCTCAAACATTCACCACCGTACCTACTTTCAACTCACACAAACGTGTATAATGCAGAGCAAAAATAAAATTAAAAAAAAGGTGTCGATTGACCCGAGAGTACATAAAGGTGCTATTATGTTAGTGGCCCAACCAAGGGGTGTAAATAATTAATACATAATAATTTATCCACGTAAATCAATGTAAATTTATTTTATAAAAATGTCTACGTGAGTGAAATGTAGGACCATTGTGCGAACGAAGAAGAAAAGAGTTAGTTTTACCTGATGGATTTAGGGCACAAAAGCGTGTCCTGAGTTAACTCGATCATAATACTTATATAACCATAGTTGTGATGAAACATTATACCGATCGTTCATTATTTGGCAATGTGTATGTAACACCCACAGCTGAGTACGAGATCGGTACGCCAGCGCCGAGTCTGCCGTGCTCGTTCGTGGTTAACGCGGACGTCAAGCGTACGGGCAACATCCTCTCGCCCACGTATCCGGGCACTTATCCCAAGGACATAGTCTGCAGCTACCAGTTTGTTGGGAAACCGAGGCAACGAGTGCGACTCGAGTTTCGAGACTTTGATCTCTTCTTCGGTGGTCCCCAGTAAGGCGATTTAATTTTTTTTTAATTTCTGTCCTCCATACATGTACAAGGTGTGTACATAACATTGTGTTTCTCAGCTGTCCCTTCGACTATGTAAAAGTGTACGACGGCATAAACAACACGTCGGCCGTGATCGGCACCTACTGCGGCCAACAGAGAAACCTCGTGCTGTACTCGTCCGAGTCGAGTCTGTTTGTTCTCTTCGTGACGCTCCAGCGTACAGCGAACACGCAAAATCGCGGCTTCAAGGGTATCTTTGAGTTCTCCGAGAGCTTTGTCAAACTAGGTATTACTGTGTACAAACACTTTTTTTTTTTNTTTTTTTTTTTTTTTTTTTTTTTTTTTTTTTTTTTGTTTTTCCCCTCACTCCGAGAAAGGAAAGACGTTTTTTTGTTATTTCCTTCTTCCCAGATTTTATAACGAATTACGGTGGCGAGCACATAAGGGGTACGGAGTGCGACCAAAAGATACTGAGCAAGAAGGAATCGGTCGGGCAAGTCGTGAGCCCAAATTTTCCCTACCCGTACATACCGAAGGTCGTTTGCCGTTACTTCATCTACGGTATGCAGGACTCGCAGCACCTCGAGCGAGTGAGGCTCGAGTTTTCCTCGCTCGACATACCAAAGGGCCTCGCCAAGGGAGAGTAAGTGTATACATGTATAATGCAGTTGAAGCAAAAACTATGGAAATTGGGAGCTTGGATGAATGACGCAGGTCGAGCTGCACGGACGGCTACCTCAAGCTGTACCTGAAGGGCCAGGAGGCCACGGACTCGTACGACAAGTTCGATCACGAGCTGTGCGGCAAGGACAGTTACCCCGAGCGCGTGGTCAGCGACGGGCCGCGGCTCGTCATGGTGTTCAGCAGCGGCGAGCAACAGGGCCGGGGCTTCAAGGCCAAGTGCGTACACACATATACATATACGTATATGTATGATACACGTATGCGACGTCAATTGATTGTCCCGTTGCGTATAGCTACACGTTCGAGACCGAGTACAGGATACCGGGAACCGCGGCTCCGGATGGTACGTGCACCTTCACCTATCGCAGCTCCTCCCGCAAACGGGGCGAGTTCAACTCACCCCGTTACCCGAGCAATTACCCGAGCGACACCAATTGCACGTACCTGTTCCTCGCTACCCCCAACGAGCAGGTCACCCTCGTCTTCGATCACTTCAAGATACGCACGAAAAACTTCAACGTCAGCGGACACTACGGGTAACCATATACTCTCTTGTTTTTCTTTTTTTTTTTTTTNAAAAAATAAAAAAAGAAAAAAAAACGTCTTTCTAGTACCCGTGAAAATGTAATATAAACGTATTAATCGATGCATGTTACACATCATTAAAAAAATCAAAAAAATCATGAGATACTTCTATCAAGATAAACTTCGTGTATATATATATATTTTATAGTAATTCGGACAATGTTATGTATTTTTTTTTTTTTTTTTTTTTTTTTTTTTTTTTTTTTTTTTTTTTTTTTTTTTTTTTTTTTTTTTTTTTTTATCCCGTACCATAAGTTGTTAACGTTTGAATGATCGCAGGGTCGAGTACTGCCAGGACGATTGGGTGGAGATCTACAACATGTACAGGGACGACACGGAGAAGCTTATAGGGAGGTATTGCGGCATGACGGCGCCCGGGCCCGTCGAGTCGACCCTCGGCGCTCGCGGGGTCAAGGTCATCCTGCACACCGACTCCGAGCTCGTCTACAGCGGCTTCAAGGCCCGCTACATCTTCGAGAACGCCAAGTCCATTTTCGGTGGTACGTATACCACGCATCGATTATCTTTCTCCTCCCCCCCTTCCCCCGACCCTCGATTATTCAATTCGTTATGTGAGTGCTCGCGCAGACTGCGGCTCCAACATAAGCAGCTTGCACTACGGCGTGATAACCAGTCCGAACTTCCCGAACAAGTACGACGCGCCGTCGCGCAACCTGGCGAGCAAGACCTGCAATTGGTTCATCAGCGTGAGGCCGAAGCACCAGATACTCCTTAATTTCGAGCTCTTCTCCGTCGAGGGGGAGCAGTCGGGTACGCGGGTCTTATCGTATATTTCTCTCTCTTGTACTCGCGTCCAATGATCTTATAGATTTCACCTTGACATTTTCACTTGCAAAGCTCGAGGGTGTCCGGCGGCGGTGCTGCGCATGTGGATATCGCCCAACACGACGCCCGTGGAGCTGTGCGGGGCCAAGGAGCCCGAGGAAAAGTGGAGCCACATCTCCGATGACCACAACATGCGACTAAGGTGGAGATTAAGAGATTCGCGTTTTGTCTGTTGCCGATCTATATAATACTTCTCCCATTCATCGTATCGATTTCACGCGCTTTTTGTCTCTTGCGCCGCGTAGCTTCCTGTCGGCGGACAAAGCGGTTGGCCAGCAGGGCTTTCGCGCGGTGTGGACCGAGGTGATCCTGGACGCGGACTGCTCGGGTGGCTTCGTTTGCGAGGTGAGCGGCTACTGCATCGACGGCTCCCTCAAGTGCAACGACATACGCAACTGCGGCCCCGAGGACACCTCCGACGAGGATCACTGTAAGTCTCGGACATCGTAGTCTCTCATCCTTTTTATTATATAATTTATACGTATATATTTACATATACGGTTATATTTGACAATACCTAGTGATGATACATGCGATGACGATCTGTACCTAAAATCTGGGTGCAGAGTCGTATGATTTTTTTTTATTCGGATGGCAAAAGATTTGTTGATTACGACGAAAATTTTAGAGATTCTGCGAATACGAAAATTCACGTGCATAATATATTTCATGGCCGCCTGTTGGTGTCCGCTTTTCTCCAATTTTTTTTTTTTTTTTTTTTTTTTTTTTTTTTTTGTTTCACAATACAATATTTTCGATCGGAATATTGATGCTTTTTTTTTTTTTTTTTTTCTTTTGTTTCGTACAAATAATACTATTGCGATTTCACATCTCTTGGTATACATATTTATTCAATTGCAACTCTCTTGTGGACACTCGACAATCAACGCAATTTTCTTTCCTACGTGTCTTTGTTTATCTAACGATACTATTTTCGTTTCAACAATAATCCATCGTGTAGAATATTTTTATTCGGTGAAATTATTATTCAACTCGCCAGGATTAATCTCTTAAATAACACAGTGATCCACACGCGTGTTATGCATACAGCTATATAAATATGTATACACCTATATGATATATAAATACACCATAAAATTTCCAACTATATATAGATATATTTAATGTTGTCTACAAACACTTTCACTACTCTATTTTTGTTGATTAACTTTTTTTTGTAAGACTAAATATTTTCACCGACGCACATTCATTTTTAATACATTTATTTATTAAGTAAATAAAAATTTTCATATTAAATACTATTATCGATGATTTATTTTGAAAAACGTTTAATCTCCAGTTATGATACGTATGTATTTGTAAAATGGCATGCACCAAGCCCTGTATAATATCACGTATACATGTACAAATTGGTATTTATCTTATACTTTCAACCATGTATTTATCTCAAAAAATGCTCTGACAATGTCGAAACGTATTCTGTGATATAATATATAGACTCCCATGAAAAATCATATAATTACTGCCACAAAATTGTTATCACTTTTAAAACTGTACATCCAAGCAATTTCTTCGCTTTCTCTTTAACTCTACTTCCAATAATTTTTTTAAATTTTATTTTCTTAATCAATATACCTATGTATTATAAATATATTATATTGTAAAAAATTTTACACTGTATTGAAACCGCACGTATGGCATGTATATATCATTAATTATAAATATCTTTCAGTACCTGGTAACTATACTTTATTCTTTTGATGGACAAAATTGTTAAACTTTTTCGAAAAATTAAGAATAGTTGAAAAAAAAACTTATAAAGTTATAAATGATACACTTGGATAACTAATCCATATTCGGTAATTTAATTTAATCTTTCAAGAGGTTTTACGATACCATTACGCAATTATCATAAAAAGGCAAAATCTGAAATTATTTGTTTTGTTTATTTCTTGTACATTAAAAATATAAATACACGTAATTATGTGTCTGATTAATGATAATTACAATTATTGGAAAAATACACTCAATTTTTATAAGTATAGATTATATTGGCGAAAAACACAAAATTTTACTGACACATAATTTCGTATTGTTCATAAAAAATATTATATAGAAATATCTATTACGACTTGACAAGTAAAGATCTAAAAAAAATGAAATATTTTTTGAAAGACTGAGCACAACTTGTTAAGTAAAAACATTTGTAGATATATTAATAATGGAATATTTACAAAAGAAAAAAAAGAAACAAGGAATAAATATTAATTTTAGAAGAAAGAAAAAAAAAAAAAAAAAAAAATAGAAAATAGACAATTATATTGTGTTTACCAAGTGCAAAATACTAACAGGTGATAAAATTTGTCGGGGTTGCTGCGATTGGTATTGTGGTGTCCCCGCAGGTGCAGTCGCGACCGACTCGGCCCCAGCGCTAGCCGGACACACTGTCGTGCTTCCTCTCTATCTGTGCTTTGTGCTCGTGGCCATCTGAGCCGATGATCCGAAGATCTCCGGCATGCCTCTTACGAACAAATAAATCTCCCCTCTTCTCAATAAATTGCAAAACCATCTCACGTGAGTCTTATCCTATCGCACAACACACACGCTTATTTCTCTTTTTCTCCGTCTTGTTTGATTTATCTTATGTTTTACTTCTCTTTGGAACGATTATATTTTTGTACACACGCACTTTGTTGAAACCTCGTATTTTTCTCTCGCTATTTTGCGTCGTTGGCACGTGCGCCCAAGCTTGTGCATTGAATGTTTTGGGAATGGTTTTTTTTTTATTTATTATACATAATGTAAGATTACTCTATGCCCATGCATCCACGTATAGATACGTTTTTTTCTTTCGATATTTTTTTTATTTCGTATTAAAAGTAACTCAGGGGTTGAAAGCTAAAAAACGTTTCATTGGAGAAATAAGGGACATCTTAGTGTACGTATGGAATTTTTTTTTTTTTTTTTAATTACACGACGCTCAACAACAGCTGTGGCTTTTGGTTTAAGTGAAAGTTGTTGAAACCGTTACATTGAATTATTTTTGGCTGAGCTTTTTCAAAGCGCTTATGTGTTTGTTAAGAAATATAATATTAGACTTGACATTGAGCAGCAGCTTTTTATGCAAACTATGAAATTATCTTAACTGCTTATAGAAAATAGCTAAAAGGGAGGTTTATACTTTTTTTTTCCCGCAGGATCAGAGAGTTTTTTGTTAAGTAGTTTTCGCTGTTTGTTTCGGTACTTTTGTAGTTTTCACTCAGCAGAAGGTAACTTTCTACAGATATATTGCGTCAAATGTTTTGCTTCGATCAATAAATTTTTAGTCCTAACTAGAGTTAGTTTTTTTTCGAAAAACAAAAGGGATCTACCAAAACAGAAAATATTTACACGTTCGGAATATTAGACACTTACTGCTCGGAGCCTGATGATGCCATGCATGTGCCTAAACTGGAATGCCATGTTACTATTGTTATAAGTATACATACGCAGAATACCAGCATTGCGATATACTATTATATATACATTTTACGTATATAATATACTGCATGATAACGTTGTTTTTTTTTTTTTTTTTTTCGTTATACTCTGATGTATACGTTAAATATCAGATTTATTAATCGTTAAATTTTTAGTACGTGACCATAAAAATATGTCGACAACTAAAACGTTATGCATTATCGCTGTCGTGTCTTTATAAATTTACATGATTATTACATACGAGTTGAAAGCAGAATGTCCCGTTGGAAAAGTGAATCATATAAGTCGCGGCGAATTCTTCGAGATTATAAAAATATTCTTGTCATTCCACATAACTGTTTTTGTCTTTGTAATTTGTGTCCAATTGATGCTAATATAAATATAAGTATTACAACGACGATAAAAGAAAAGTACTTTAGTGTTTGTTTAATATGCAATACTTATTATCCATTAAGTGTATCTAAGAAATTCGAGATTAGCAGTTTGAGCCGTTATATGTAAGCTTATGACTGAGCCATTAGGATCTAACGAAACGTCTTAATTTTTTTCCTTTAAAATTGAAAATTGGTCAATCGTTAATTGATTTACGTAATACGCTTGATTACGTTTTATTGAAAATTTAAATTAACTTCCGTTGATTACGTCTGACTAAACTCCCACAGCCAAGGGACATTCTGCTTGCATAACACACTATAAATTTTCAATGAAGGTGTCAATTTAAGTTGACATAACTTACGTATTACTAAAGTAATGTTATAATAATAATAATAATAATAATAATAACTAATGAACGCTCAACCAAAAGAAAGTAGATGATTTATCATAGTAAAGTTACGTAAAAAAAAAAAAGAAAAGATTTTCACAATGTTTTGGAAACTATTGTGGTAATTAAAATGATGTAAAATTATTTGAGTCCTGTCGCTTTCATTCGATCAAAATGAATACGTTGCAAGCTCAAGTACAAAATAACTTGTAAATTATCGCTTTTAAAGTGCGACTAGCTTATTGATGCCGTAAAGCTTACAAAATGAATGCAAAACCATATACATGGTATTAAAATGGTAACTAGAGTACCATAACAGAGTATGAAGCATGAAGGAAAACATTTACTGCAGATACATATAGGTAAAGACTACAATAGTTATAGGTTGCACGAGTATATCGTTTCGCAGCAGCTTTTATAGCTATACAATTACGAACTAAAGTTTAAACTTTGATGGTAGAAATTTTGGTTTATTTTATTATTATTATTATTTTTTTTTTTCTAAACAAAGATCGCAAATGAAGCGGCAGGATTTTTAATAAAATATATTTATTGGAATAACGAATGCACTTTAAATTTGTTGTTTGTTATTTAAAGGAATTCCTACCTTTCGAGTGTTGAGTTGGAGAATTTGTACTTTTTTACATTTATCAATGTTTCTCCTCCTTTTTTCGTATCATTACGATTTGTGAATTAAATAATCAATATCATCTTGCCACGAGCATCAAAAATTTTCACTCATGCAGCAGGCATAAATCGATTCACCGACAACTGCAGTGTCATATACATTACTCAAAGCAAAAGTTTAAAGTGCACCTTCGCAGAAAAAAAAAAAAAAAAAAAAAAAAAAAAAAAAAAAAAAAAAAAAAAAAAAANAAAAAAAAAAAAAAAAAAAAAAACTTCTCTACGAAAATCCTCACCTCCATTAATCCCCCACAAGTGCCGATTCACTCTTTCCATCCATAACTACTTATCATCGCCATACAATATCACCACCACCACCACCGTCGTGGTTCTCGTCCCGCACTCTCGTCTCTCTAAATTACAGGCAGCCTACCCCCGCCTCCGGAGAACTACTATGCCTTACCGGCGGGCAGTGCCAGTTTTGCCGTGATCTTCGTGATAGTGCTGTGCGTGATCTGCCACCGGCGGGTGCGTCAGATGCGCGAAGCCGGTAGCCATCACCACGACCACGGTCGGCATCATCGCCACCACCAGCACCACCACCTGCACCCCGAACACCTGGACGAGCACCTACAGCAGCGCGTGGACGAGCGCACGGGCCGCTGCTTTCACCATCACCATCACCACCACCACCCGCACCAGCACCACAACGGTGGGAGCGCCGGTGGCGGCGGGGACCAGCTCGAGCACCACCACCACCACCACCATCACCATAATCAACAAAACCACCGGCTGCTGATGCACCATCATTCGCACACGCACGTGGGCTCGCGGCCCTCCAGTCGGCTCGAGCTCAACAACGACGAGGACGACGAGCGCTTGCTCCAGGACCCGCCCCCCAGGTCGGCCAGCCGTGCCACCGGGACCCTGGGCGCGACGGACTACTGGATGCCCGAGCACCACCAGTCGCCCAGCCCGGCGAGCGACAGCGAAGCCGAGCTCGAACTCGTCCAGAACGAGATGTCGATGTCGGCCGCCGCCGCTGGCAGGAGCAGGTGCGCCGGTGTCGGGGCTGAGGAGCAGGAGGAGGATGAGGAAGAGGAGGAGAACGACAACAACGACGACGACGATGACGACGACGCAGAGGAAGCCGAGAAGCTCGCGCTCCACCTGCAGGACGAGGAGGAGCCGAGCAGTAGTCCCGAGAGTGGCGCCACCGTACAGCGTGGCGGTGGTGTTCGCTGATGCCGGCCGGCGGCCGAGTACGCAGCCGCTGCTGCCGGCTGCTCAACTACAAAGTATGACCTTATACGATTATAACACGATGATTGCGATTAATATACATACATTGTGTAACGATTATCATTGGGTTATTGCATATACATACATACATACATACATACATATATTATATACATACGTACATTGCATGTAATATATAATCGTCGTTTGCGTTGTTGCTCACGCCCGCGTTACTGTACACGACAATGACGATGTTGTTACTGCTGCTGATGTGCTAACGCTGTACGTCGCTGTCGGTTTTTTTTTTTTATTTTGTTATTTTACTTTTGGTTAAGATTCCTTGGGACTCTAAGACGAGTGAATTGCAATGCTGATTTGTACTTTGGCATTGTTTTTTCACGACGGATTTGTTGTTCCGAAATATTTGTATACTTATATGCGAGTGGTTCTCGGCAACGGCGCTGGACAAGCATGGCACATGCTGCAGGTAAGGCTGATCAGCAATCCGTCACTGCACTTTTCCAAGCTTTTTTTATAACCAAGAAGGCGGAGAGTATCCCCCCCCCCTACTTGTACCGGTCTTTTTATCATCTCGCGCGCGTTAAAGGCAGAGATGGAAAAAAGCACCACATTTGTATGAGACAATGAAAGAAAACAAGTGTAAAAATTATGTATAAAACATCAATCGAATCGCTATTTTAAGAAAGTACCTACCATTTTAAAATATGAAGAAGAAAAAAAAAAGAAAAGCACAGTACTGCCATTATTAGCCGTAAAACAGAAGAAAAATAACCGCTGTATAAAGTCATACTTTGACCTCTTGTTCTCCGAGCACATTCATTGGAGTGGGAATCAAGGGGGGAAAAAAAAACTAGTGCGAGTCTAATTGTTGTTCACATAATTGTTATAATTGTTGCCGAGCCCGAGTGTAAAGAATTACCAAAGAAAATACGGAGAGTAACGCTTAATAACGATTAAGGCTCTTTGCCGTCGCCTTTTTTCTCGCGCTATTGTGAGCGTTTTTTATTCCGGTAGTATATTATTACGTATACATACAATATTGCCTTCGACATCCAGAGATCGACTGAAATCAGCATGGAAAATAATATATAATATAATATAGTATAATATATATATATAATA